ATGGGCGGAGTAGTAATACTTTATCCTACTTTTACTCAAGTAAGAGTAAAAAGTACAATAATGTAAAATTTATTTTTAATATTTTATTTTTTTTCCAAAATTACTCTGCTAATTTACCAAATCTAGCAACGACTTTGTGGTTTTTCCCTCTGGTGTTTTTTTTCTATCTGTTTTTGGTTGATGGGTTGAAAAGTGCTCATGCACAGCTTACAGTATTATTTTACAATCTAGCTCTACAGCTCGACTGTGTCCCTTGTTCTTAATGATCTTCATGGCGTCAAGTGAACTTCTGAGGCATTAAAAGAACAGATCTTCTGTAAGATTAAATCACACACATTTGGACCTTATTTATTTACCAATAAAGAGCCTGGATTTAATTTATGGGTGACGGATTAAAGGGGCTGAACCCACCTGATATATAAAAACTCTTTTATAGACTTTTAACCCAACATATCCAACTAAACCACTGATGTCCCCTTTAGTTTTTGTCTTTAATGTTTTTTGTTTCTACCTTCAGCTGCCATAGCATTTCATTGATTGGTGTGAGAATAAAATAAACTTTCGCTGGATTTGTCGTGTTAGTGAGTAATGGCTCACTCATTGAAAAAACAATAGTGGACGGTCCCTCCTGCACTCATACATGCATATCTCTGTGCTGTTAACCATTCAAAACAGAAATTCTGAAAGACTTAAGTACCGCTGCGAAATGTTGATTGGACATAATCAAAAGTGGAAACTTAACACCCCGCAAAACATGCAGGCATACATGGTGAGCTTACACATTCTGTAGCAAATTAGCAAATGGGAGTTGATTGGTTGGTAAAACCAAGAAGACGCTGGTTTGAACCCTCTGCGTTGTTTTAAGGGGCTGCCTGTTTTGTGTGTGTTTGTGCATATGTGGTGATGTGTATGTTGATGGGAGTTTGATAGAAAAGTCCTGGTGACTTGAGCCGTTCATCAAAGCGATGTGGAGGAGCCGCACGGCATCTGGGAGCAATAACGTTGCCTCTAACCCTTCATTACCACAAAGACCGGGCCCTGGGTGGCAGCCAAAGGCAATTTTCACAACCCTCCTCCTCACCTCCCTCCGTTTTTCTTTCCCTCCATTCTTCCGCCATTCCCCCATTGAGTTTTTTTTTTTTAAATGAGACACAAAGAGCAATTCTGTAGCTCCTGTCTGATGTAGACGCAGGAGGAAGGTTAGTTACTAAGGTAAATAAACCTGTTTTTGTTATAAAAAAAAATCTCTGACTGCCAGAAAAATGTAAAAAGTATGATAAAGATTAACCACTAAACATTAAACACAACAACAGACCAGTGAGAAAGAGCAGAGGGAACATCTGAGCAAAACCTAATTAGTCTTAATGCAGTTTGGACTTTATTTAAAGTAGGACCACATGTTTACAGGATGTAAATCAGGAACAGAGAACCTGAACGGGGAGAAGCCCAATGGGAAACTGTTAAAGTGGAGCTATTTCAGGTCTATGTGTAAAATCTTGCAGCTGTTTATGACT